GTTTCTATTTTCTCCTCCACCCTCCTCACTGATTTCATGGTGCATCGGTGACAGTGTTTATACACTTCCTGCGCTCAGGACAATTCTGTTGCCACAGCAACATGCGTAGCTCCCAGCATCCCGCATCCGAAGCCAAAGGTGTAATTTGGAGATCAACAGCCAAAGTACTGGCAGATTTCCCTGGAAGAAGCTCCCCACACACTTTGTGGGAGACATTTGCCCCTGTGGCTCCCCTCCCTCACAGGTGGCACCACTACTACCCCTCGGGTGCTGGGTCCACAGTTGCAGATACTCCTTTAAGATGTCATGGCAGAAGATGCTCTGGCCACTAAGGAAATCAAGGGAGTGCACAGACCCACCAAGACTGCTCTGTCCTCTTGACCACTGAGCCTTGTCTTCCCAGAACCTGTCAGGCTGCCAGTGCCTCCCTCCGACCCTATAGTGTTGTCATGCCCTCCAGCATGGGCTCCGTGACTCTCCTCCTCCTTTCATGGAAAGAGGCTGGAGTTGGGACTCCTGGGGACCAGGGGCTTCTGCAGCACTGCTTGCATCTGTAATTTCCAGTCCAGGACCACACAGCACTTTGCTTCTCCTCTGTAGCATTCCTCTGAGCATTGCCCCCACGTATGGTGTGTCTTCATAGAATCATAGAATGGTTAGAGTTGGACGGGACCTTAAAGATCATTGAGGTCCAACCCCCTGCCATGGGCAAGGACACCTCCTCCCACTAGACCGGGTTGCTCAAAGCCCCATTCAGCCTGGTCTTGAATTGGAGAAGGAGAGAGCAGCCATACCTTGGAGCAGGAAAGCCCCTAGCAGAGAAGAATATACCAAAAGGCAGGCTAAAGGCAGGGCCTGAGGGGCCAGAGGAGGAGGACCAGCCACCCTGGTCAGCAGCAGTCCTTGAGAAGGGGGTGACTCACCGGTTGACTCGGACGCTGCCCATGGCTCGCTGTATCATCAGGTGTCAGGGGGCGGCGGTAGCTGGGAGGGCACGGGATCTCATGCAGCAGCACTCACATGGGAGCAGGCAGCTCCAGGTTTCACCTCCGGCAAGCTGGGGCCTGCGCTGCCATTGCCATTGCTCCTGGGCACCAACCTTGGGGAAAAGGACCAAGCAAAACCCAGTGAGAGCCTCCCCTGGCAGCACCCTTCCCAGTCCTGGAGCTGGGGGGGGGGACACGGGGCTCCCAGCCTTTTGCTCAGGAGGGGTCTGGAGGTGTCCACAGGGCACCGTGCCACAGCCTGGCTCTGGCAGGTGAGGAGCTGATGGATGCAGACCAGGTTGCCCGACCTGTGCCCCCCCCACACTCCTCGGCATCTACTGACGGAAGAGGTGCAGGGCCGGCTGGTGGCTGCTCCTCAGATCAAGGGCACTTTGCAGGGCCCTTGCCCTGAGCCATTATATTAATATCATAGCTTACAGCAGGACGAGAGCTCAGCCAGGCTAAATACCTCGCACACAAGGACTAACGGAGCACAGACATGCACGGCAGCCCTCAGGGATCCCCATCAGCCCAGCCTGACCCACAGGGAATCTAGTTCCAGGGGATGCAGAACCTCTCCCTCCCGCCCCAGCCCCGTTTCAAAGAGGATAAGAAAAGCAATGGTTAGAGCCAAAAGGGAGAACTGACGGAAAGGAAGGGCTTAGGGGTAGCCAAGGAGAAGCCGGTTAGAGCCAACAGACCTTGCGACGTGCCCTGCGTACAGCATCCAAGGAGCGGCTCAGCAGCAGAGCCCTGGGGAGGATGTCCAGCAGATGTTACGTCCCAACCTGGTCCTCCCCGAACTGAAGAACGGGGAAACCGAAGACTCAAGAGCCGACCTATCCCGTCTGCCCAGAGCTGCTGGGAAGTGAAATGCAGTGAGGGGGCAATGACTCACAGATTAGGAAGGGCTTTGTACACCCATGCTAATCCTGCACTGTAACCTTTGGATTACAGCAGCCAGTGCGGAGCGCCGGACGCAGACACAGCCAGCTAGTTCACTTCCTCCCAGCCTCACCGGCGAGCAGCCAGTGGTTGCCATATCTGGGCCAAATCCAAGGATTTCTGGGTCAAATCCAAGGCTGAGAGCTGCTTGCAAGTGGTCATGCACAGACAAGAGAGACGAACAGCAAGAGATGTTATCAGGGTCAGAAAAGCTGGTGAGAACCATCCTTGTCTCGTCACCAGAACAGGGCTTCATGTGGTTAAGGGTGACCACCCGTTTTCCCCAGTTAGGAGCACAGACCAGAAAGCAGCAAGTTAGGATCCCCAGACATCACCTCTGATGTGCAAGCAGCATTGTTGCCATGTCTGGGATGAAGACTAACCAGCAGTCTCTCCTCCAGAGACCACAGATACTGAGGCAGTTTAAGCCCTGTAGCAACACAAACATAGTTATACAGACCAAGGATATTATGAGACTGGGAGAAGACAGCAATCTTGTAGTTCCACAACTCACCATACAGAGGTAAAAGTGAACAGCTGCCCCAAAATTCCCGTCAGCAAAAGGTGCTTTGGCCCTGAACTCTGCCAGGACCCACCCCCTCACCACCCTACAGCATTCAAGCCTTTAAGGAGGATGGATTTGGCCAGGTGTAGGAAGTTAAGTTGTGCAGCTGGGTAAACCTACAGCAGAAACTGGGGTGGATAACTTAAATTAATCCTAAATTCATTCATTCATTTAACCTAAATTCATTCATTCATGTTGAGGAACAACCAGGTGATGAAGGGTCACCTCATGCTCACAGATGGTCCCATGAAGATAAAGCTAAGACTTATCTTCAGAGATTACATGGTGAGTTTGGACTGCAGGGTCCCACAGGTCTTTGGGATGTGAAAAAGGCAGGCAATTTGGGTATACCCCTCTATGCCAGATCCAGCCAAGAAAGGAAGGGCACCCTCTCCAGCCGGCACCTTCCTCAAGCAGCTCATTCTAAACCAGCACTGACACTGGTGCTGGAGGAAAGGCACTGCCGCAGCTCACGTATGGATACTTCACAACTTCCTAGATGTTTCTGACCACCCCCACCCCTCCCTTTCCCCAGCTGCAGGGATAGGTGCACAATTTCTAGAGACTTTGGATTTATGGCCCAGGTGGTAGCCAGCTCCAAAAGAAAAGGAAGGAGGACCTAAGGGGCTTCTGCCCACTGAAATTATGTGCAGCAGCACCCGAATCTCTGCTCCTAAACCTCCCCACCTCACTGAGAAGGGGCAAAGGAAGCAGGTGAAATGCAGGTACCGCAAGGGCTGTGCTCGTCTCTGGCTGGTACAGCTGAGGGGAGGGATAGGCACACTGTGCTGCAACCTGTGCTGCTGTGCTTCCTCCTGGCTCCCAGGTGGGAGATAAGTCAGCCAGAACTGTAGCATGGCTCCTTGTGCAGAGCCCACCACGGCTGGATCTTGCAGCTCAGAGCCTGGGAAACATTTCCTGCTGGCTCCAGAGTGCCAGAATGGGTCATCAGCAGCTAGAACTACATCACTACCTGCAACTTGTACTCCATCACAAGAAAAGTATTTCCGTGAAGAATAAAGACTGCGGATCTGAACACACACATTTGAGGACATGAGAGAAAATGGTTTTAGTATAGGCGTTAGTGGGACACCTGTGGTCTCGGTCCATACACTCATCTGTAGGACCCGCACAGAATTGAGTTCATAGCTCTTTTTCTTCTTCAGCTTCAGAAATTTTCCCAGTAGATTCAAGGACCTCAGCAACAAAATGCAGCGACTCTGCTCCCAAAGCAAGCTGTCTGATGGACAGGTTTGCACCCGCTATTATTTTGTGGAGGTTCTCCAGGGCGAAGTCTATGTTGTGCTTCACTGCTCCCAGGTCAGTTATTTGGCCTGGTTTCAGATCTTCTCTCTTCGCCTTGGAGCTCTCCAGCTCTCCCCGGAGAATAGAGATCTCCTGCTTCAGCTCCTCCACGGTGCTTTCCGCCTCCAGAGCCCGCTGGGTCATTAGCTGAAGATTCCACTTAGTTTGCTGGACAAAGGATTGTAGCTCATGGGCTTCCCTCTCCTCTTTGGCCAGCTGCCTCTCTAGCCTCCGCACCGTGCATGCCTGGTTCTCCAAGGAGCTCTTCATGCTGCTGACCACCCTCCTGAGCATGGTGTTCTCCTCCTTGAGTATGTCATAGGTCGTCTCTGAAGACGGGACCTCTCTGTCCCCGATGGCCTCTTCGTGCAGCAAGTGGGGTTCTGTCTCCCAGGTGTGCTCTGAGTTCCCCAGGTAAGGGTCACTGGCATGGGACCATGGGACAAAGGCATCCATCCCCAGGTGCTTGCTATATTGGAAAGAGTCATAGGAACCACGCAGTGCCATACTGGCAGTTCGGAGAACACGTGACCTTTGATGCACAGGAATGTGGTAGTTCCAGCTGTGGTCCTCATCTTCAGACAAGCTGCCAGGCCCTTCTGTGTCTTTGTAAAATGGTTCCTGAAACTCTTGAGCTTCCTCGTCAAGCGCCAGTGCATGCTTGGCCAATGTTTTGGCATATATTCTATTTTTCAGTTCTTCGTCTTTCACCATGTAAGAGTGCCTGGGACTTAGGGAAAATGGGGTGGTTTCTCCCAGATCCTCGCCCTGACTGTCAGCCAAGCTGTCGGAGCTCTTGCACTGGAGTGGAGGATGTGCAGAGTGACAGAAGTAGCTGAATTTGTCATCATTGTCATCATCCTCATCATCATCTTCCAAGCCTTGAGATTCTGGGCGGACCCTCTCCATTGTCCCAGAGACGCCAAGCAGCCGTGACATTTTTCAGGGTTCTTTGGGCTGCAGCAAGCAGGAGGATCCAAATTATCTTCCTGGAGCCCAGGTCACACAGGCAGGTGACACTGACGAGCAGTGTGCCAACTTCTGCAGCCTCAGCTGGTGAGGGAGAGGCATTTACCAAAATCCCTCTATTTAGATCACCAGGTTGTTCGGGAGGGACTGGAGAGGAGCACTAGGCATCTCTGTGTCTTTGCTACGGGGAGAACAGGAGTCACCAAGGTCTGTGATGTCATCGTGTGCTGTGAGGTCATGACCAGGAGGGAGAGGAACCAATCAACTGCAGAAGGGCAGCAGGAGGATAAGCTGCATCCTTGGGGAAGGATTGGGGAAGCTGCTGGTGGGAAGAGAGGAGCTTGTGAAGCCACCTGAGACCTCCAGCGTGCAGTGGGGACAGGGGCCAGCCGTCCCCAAGCAAGCAGCATCATGCAGAGGGGACAACCCTGCCCCACAGGCTGCTGAGACATCTCCAGCAGCAGCAAGCTCACCCTGGGCAGAGGCAGGAGATACCGACCAGTGCTTTGGCCATCACCCCGGGCCAGCTGGCCAGCAAGGGGTCCGTGCCGTGGTGCTGCCATCGTGATTCATCCCCTGCCGCCAGCTGGAGCAGGGAAGCGTTAGTAATACCGGGCGCCACAGACTCGGAGCAGCACAAGCCAGGAGACGAACGAAAATATACCCACTTACCACTTCCACCCCAACACACCCCCACAGCGCACGGTGCCACCCTGGAAAAGACAGGCAGGGGAGAAGCCCTGGGATGGGGACTGCCATCACATTGGCCTGGCGTTCACATTAGCCTCCCCCAGAGATGCCACAGTGGCAGGTGATGTAGCCACCATCCCTACTCAGCAGCTGGTGGCCCAGGGCCACCACTGACATCCCTGCCTGCAAAATGCCTGCCCTGAGCAGCCGTTGTAGGAGTCCAAGCCCTGTGCAAACTCAGTTCAAACAGCTGTGAAATGGTCTCGTTGCTCCTTGGAAACCTGAAACACAAATGGGATGAAGGGGGAGGGCTCAGAGATGCCTCCAGCTAAAGGGTATGACACCGACAAGGGGGAGGGAAGCCTGGCCAAGGATAGAGATGTGAATCCTTGAGCATGTCTGAGGACCTTTCTTAGAGCTTGCTCTGCCTCCTGAGATCCACATGTGGATGGGGAAAGCCAGGGGGTCAGCAACAACTCTTGGGGAGTGGGATGAAACCCCACCAGTGGGTGCAGCATGGGGCACCCTGGGTGATGCTAGGCAGGAGACTGTGGTCTGGAGAGATGCCTCTCCATCCCTCTGCTGCCCTGTCCCTGACATACATGAACACCCACGTATTTCATGGCCTGAGGAAGCCCCCCAGCACTTCAGGAAGCTGATGCAGCATGGGCATCGCAGCCACTGTCTTTCAGCATTGAAGCTGTCAGCCAGGTGGGTCTCCAGGGGCCAAGAGCTGCCTCCAGCCCTGCAGCCTGCGCTGCCCTTCCCTCCTTCCCAAACACTTTCCCCCTCCTGCACCCTGGACTGAGCAATGCCGAGGACACCGCCACCGTGCCGCAGTCATCCCCACCTTCCCGGGTGACACCGCTCTCCAGCAGGCACACGCCATTGCACCAGCCCACACGCTGCCACCCCGGCACCACTCCGACCCCGAGCAGACACGTGGGGCCAGGCTGCTGCCATGGCTTTCCGCGGGATCTGCGGGCTAATAATAACGTCAGGGCGCATGGTGCTGATGTAATGCCTCCATCGCTCCATCCCAGTACACAGTGCAGCGCCTCACACATCCCAGGCTTTCTCCAGCCCCTGCCAGAGCCGCTCATATTTGTCAATCCTTCCTTAAATTTGCGGTGGAAGAGTCTCATGAAACAGAACAGAAAAGTCCACGCCGAAGCACTCCCCCACTTCTCTTTTTATAACAACCGTATCTGGTGCTCTGGGATGCACACGGCGAACGACGACGATGGAAAAATCCCAGGGTATTTTTACACTCTTAGTCTTTGCTTTATCTGGAGCCGTCTGGCAAATGCTTCCCTCCTGTCTGTGGTCAATACCGCAGCCGCTGGTTGTGCCACGCTTCGTGCTTTTATTCCTCTTTAGCGACTGGGTGGCACTGTCCACTTTTGAGATCAGCATCCGCAGACCCAGCCTGCCGGCTCGGGCACGGCCACAACACAGCAGACATCTTCTCTCCTCACGGGGAGTCAGGGTGGAAACACCCACAAGTAGAGAGGGGGGAGCCCCTTTGGCTTTTTGCAGAGCCTCGCAGACCCACCGTATGCAGTTTGTCCTCTCCAGCCTCTTTGTAAGTCCGTCTTGTATCCTCTTCCTCGCAAATACTCCCCGGGGTTCCTGCCGGGGCTCAGTGGGCAGCGCGGTGCCGTGGGGCTATCTCGCTGCAAGAGGCAGTGGCCAAGCTGTGGCTGCCCCGTGCCGGCAGGGCTGGGTGCTGGGTGCCCTACCAACACGGGCGAAGGCACAAGTCACCGTGCGGGAGAGTTTTGCCATATTAAAAAGGCAAGTGACATATGGAAGGTGAGGGGAGGAAGCTGTAATCAACTCCATACCATTTTTATATACACACTTCTGCCTTTTCGTTCAATAATTATAAATAGATCGAGTAAGTGCCAACAGTCCCCATCTGCCCCGCAAGGCACCACCCGCTGACCAGCTTCTCTCTCCAAAAGAGGATTTTATCAACGTGCTTCTGCCCGCTTTATATTTTGGGGTGGAGTGAGAGGGGGGGATTTTTTTCTCCCCCTGTGAAGCCCTGGAGCCTGAGGATGGGTAATATGAAAACAAAACAAAATGATTTGAAGTTAAACCATCTCAGTGTGTGACTCAGAGCTATTCATAGCTCCCTGAAGCCAGCTGCAGCAACGGAGCCAGAAGGATTCTGCCCGTATTATTATTCCAATTACCATCTGAATTAAAAGTTTGAGCAGTGATCAGCCCACATACTGACGGGAGGGGGAGAGAAGAAAGCAAGAGAGAAGGAGAGAAAGAGAGAGAGGGAGAAAACACAGATAAAAATGGGATCCACACAAAGGTCTCCGGGATGACAAAGTCGGGAAGAGGCACGGAAAGGTGACAGCATCACCTCCTGCCTGCTCCCACACCACCCCGGCGATCCCTGCTCCGGCTGCACCAGCCGGGCAACGGCGCTGCAAGAGCAGCCCCCCTCTCCTCAGGAATCCGGCTGAGACCGGGGGAACTCCACAGCAGGGCTGGTGGGACTGGCACGGGCACTCACCCACTCTCCTCCGGCCAAAACAGGGCTGGGGGGACAAGAGGCAGGGGCTGGGGGGAGGCCGAGCAGAAGAGTAAGGAGGGGATGCTGCTGGGGAGAAGGCTTGGGGAGAAGTCCCCGCTTTTTCTTGTTGAGCGAGATAGGTGGGTGTTATTCTTTGTGGCTGGCATCACAGGGAAAATTAAATGCTCAGAAGGCCTCTGGCCAAAAAAGAGCCGGGCTTTCATGGCAGCCAGGGCACAGACTGTGTCCCATCTGCTCCTGAGGAAGCGCTGAGGCTGACGTCCACCCTGGCAGCCATCCTGCCAAAACCATGGACTAGACCCTAAAGGGTTGGTGCAAAACCCTCAAGAGATGAAAAACAAAGGCGTTGGGGTGTTCCCAAGGTTCCCAGGTCCTGGGTGGCTGTGGTGTGCTCAGGTCACCTCCTCCAGCTTCCCAGCATGACTGCACCAGTGAAAAGGGCATCTCCCCTAACTCCCCCACCGCAGGAGCTCCCTTTGCTGAGCATCCTGCCCTGAGGGAGCCTCGCCAAAAGGCTGTCCCCAGCAATGTCCCTGCGTCTCGGTGTCTCTGAAGCATGGAGTCCTTCCTGAGCCCATGGTGGCTTGGCCAGCAGGGCTGCCCATGCGTGGTCTCTCAATGGCTTTTGGCTGGCTGGGGACAAGGATCATTACAGGTGTGCAGTAAACGAGGGGTGAGGGTGGCCAATGTCACCTCCCTGCCCACTGCCTCTGCAAAGCTCCTGGCAAGACAGGTGCCTGCAAATGGGTTATGCAGGATGATAATAACAGCAACAACAGCAAAGGGCGAGCAGGAGACCGGGTGAAGCCTGCTCTGCTCCGAGCCCCCGACCGAGAGAGGCTGCAGCCGCTGCTCGGCACCCGGCTGCTGCGGGAGGGCTGAGCTCCCAGCCTGGCCTGGCTGCTCAGCACTGACCCATCACCAACAGCAAAAAGAAAAAAAAAAATTGTCTCACAAAAGTAACAAGGAGCCCAGCCAAGCCACCAGCCTCCCGAGGTGGTCCCAGCTTCTCCCCTTTCCAGTCCTGCCCGCTGGGCTTCAGAAGCAGAGCTGAGGGAGCATCCCAGGTGAGCCACAAAACCACGCTCCTGCAGAGAGGGGATCCCCTGTTTCTCCACAAGCCTGCTGGCTGCAGCTCGCTCCCACCAGTTAAACACACACACACCTGGAAGACATCAAGCCTAGGCACTGCCCTGTGCCCGTGGTACAGACTGTGCCCCCCTCCTGCATGCCCCCTGGCTCCCCAATGGGGTGGTGGGGGGTCGGGCTCGGGTGGAGGGGTAGAGCCCTGTGAAATGGGACCAAGCAGCCATGTTTGCAGGCTGCTCTGCCTGGGATATATTCCCCCCCCGCCATGGCCATGGGTTGCTGCCATACCCCTGCTCACTCCCACTGGCTCCCTGCCTGCTCACCTGCCTCTCGCCCGCCGGCACTCGGTGCTGCCCGCAGCTTCTGCTCGGTCACCTCCACCCAGACAGGAGGCTCTTTCTTGGTCGGGGAAAGGACGGGGACAGGAGAGGAGAGGACTTCTGGGGCTGCTGGGTCTAGTCCCGCGGCAGGCACCGCCTCTTCGTAATGCCATCGAGCTTTTCGGAGGGACGAAGCGCCTGCCTGCCCAGCCTCTGGGATCCCCAGTGCCCTTCAGCCCCCGCGCTCACTGTGCTGCTGGCAGGGACAATCTGTACAGCTCTCACCGGGCTACAGGGCTGCTTTATATAGTGGAGCCACTTTTGATGTCCTCTGTCTATAAGTCTCTTTTCATCCATCCCCTCGGCGCAGATGCCCAAGCGGGCTGCCGTGGCCTGGCGCAGACAGGGAGCGGGCGAGAGGAGAGGAGAGAGCAAAGATGAAGGCAGGGGAAGGGAGAACAGGCAGCCGAGAGGCAGAGGGGATGAGGCCAGCAGCTCATTGCAGCAGTGCCAGCATCGTTCTCCAGGGACGGTGGAAGGGAAGTGGAGGAGGGAGGCAGGAGAGGTCCCGGGGTCTTTTCTCCGAGCCTTTTGCAGGGGACAGGGTGGGGGACGCTGCCTCCCTCGTTTTCACACAGCACCAGTCTCCCTCTGAAGCCTTTCAGGAGTAATGTTGCCATAGAAATGAAACAGCCGTCCAGATTGTGAGGGGCAGGCCTGCCACCATGGCGGCAGGGGCTGGTGTAGCTGCGGACACGTTGCCGGCAAGAGTCCCCAGCTGGTGGCATGGTGCAGTGCCAGGCTGGAGGATGCCTTGTCCTCCATCCCCTGCTCCCTCAGCTCCTGTACCACCAGCGGTGGTGCTGCCATGCCAGCATGGCCAGTGCCAGCCCCAGGTGGCATCTCCTCCCTAAATACACCAGTGGGTCAATGCCAAAACCACCCCTGCAGGCAGGTTACCTTCCACCAGGTTCCCCAGAGGGCAGGCATGGAGGTTCAGGGGTCTCTGGGGCACTGAGGATGGGGTTGTGCTGCAGCCAGCTCTCATCTGGCATCTGCCCAGGCACCGCCTTTACTCCTGGAGAGCAAGCCTGAGGGGTCTGAGGGTGAGCATCAGCTCAAAGGCGCCCATCCTGAGCCCCCACCACCAGCCCAGCATCTCTCCTGAGAAGGGGCTTCAAGACCAACCACCCCCAGTAAAGCCACCTTGTTGGGGGAGCAAAATCAGTGCCTCTGGGGGGCTCTATGTGAGGCCCCTCCACCCCGGTGAGGGGCACGGAGCGGCGCCATTGAAGAACACGAATGCTGCCCGATGCGGTTTCGTGAAGCAGGCGGCTTCACCCGGTCCTTACCGTTCACGGCCAGGCGAGCTCCAGCAGGAGGCCGGGGAGCCGGGCGCGGGCGAGGGAGGGATCGATCGCGAAGACGCGAGCATCCATCTATTGATCCCCGGCCGCGCTGCCGGGTTAA